TAAACACTTAATGGAGCCAAGCACCAGTCATCCACAGAATTGCACAAAGACCAAGGTAATGGAAGCATCCAAAACTCGATTTTAATCACCACTTTCCATCTTTAGCTTCACCCAACCACTGTACGTATGCCATCGTGATGTCTTATATAAAAATAAAGTAGCTGAGACATGGAAGAGCAAAGGAAAAGCCTGCATCCCGATGCACATCTCTTTCCCAGCTCACCCTACGGAAGCACCTGAATACTGTCCAAGGAAAGACGAGGGGATGGAAGTCCATAGCACAAACTTTTTTGTTATCATTAAGGTGTTGAAATGTCCCATCAAATTTAGATATCAGTCTTTTGTCATATGTCTTTGCCAATTTTCCCACAATGTGGGAAAATTACCCTGCAGGTAAAATCTTTGATCCGCTTGAGAGTCTACATTTTAGAAGGTCTCCATTACTTAGTTTCCCGTTCTCTCCGTTTGCTATACTGTACTGACGTGCATGTTACTATGCTGCAAGAGACTTGCCACTGCTATTTGAAATACTATTAGCATCACCCAGAAGAAGCAGATTTCAACACAACTTCGAAAAGAAGACCAGACTAAACATAAGGGGTAGGTATTCCACTTCTTCAAAACCTGCCTCTGAGAAGCATGATTAGCAGTAGAGGAGGCTCTGATGTAGCAGCAGATGAGTACCTCAGGTTGGAAAGCATTCAAAGTCCGCCCAGGGAAGACGTGGCTCCTCAAATTAAGGCGGTTCCCCTGCCATCTGCCTTTTGGCAAAAAGGTTGGGGAGTCTGCTTCCCTGAATACCAATAGTTTTGGAAAGCTTCGGGAACGGGTCCGTTGTTCTGATGTTATTCTAAAGGGACTTTGAGCCAGTCCCCACTCATGCCAACACTGTGAACCACAGAATGCCACACTCCCCGGGCTGATACCATGCCGAGTACTGTTGCAATGTTCCAGCAGCCCCCCGCTGGCATCCATTCTGCGAGTCCATCGCAGGGAGGTTTTCCCTGGCTTCACTGCTCTGTAAAAGGTGATGTCGCATTGATGGGGCTTGTCTCTCTTGCACATCCACAATGCGTAGGATGAAGACTTGTCATCTTGCTTCTCAAGAGCATCAAATTGTACTTCTTCCAGGAACAGATTTTGTTTTGCTCCATTGTCCTTAAAGTACGTCCTTACTCTTCAACCCAGCAGGGTTCTCTTTGCCACTGATCTACCCAGGGCAGTGTGTCATTTGATTTCTTGATGGTTTCTCCTGAGCATTGATGGAGGACGCAAGCAAGATGAAATCATCGACAACCTTGAGCTCCTCTCCATGTATCATGAGCATGTCCATGGGTCCAATTGGGATTATTCCTCTTAGATCATCCTTCTCCTGGTTCCACTGTGGGCTACTTTCTGCAGGAGTTTGTATCAGACCAGAAGCCAATATTCACTGGGTAGCAAGATTGCTTTCAGTGTGCTCAGGAAGACTTGCCTTGTTGTTAGAGCCCCACTCTGGTATGTTGCCAATGGATATAGCCTCCACTCAAGATGCCTGCTTCCTAACCTACAGCATCCTCATCAGCATTCCTCAGTACTGATAAGAATGTGTAGAACATCGAATGGATTCCCTCAAAAGTCTTTCTCCTTGGTTTCAAAAGTCTGAGCTATGGAGTTGCAGGGCAGCAAGATTGACTACGAGGAGGCCGACTTCAACTGCAGAGTATATTTCTGTAGCGAATCGCAGTGCTCTTGAAGTTCCCAGTGCCACGTAGGGAAGGGGCTGACACACTCCAAGCTGGACCCCAGAAGATTTGCCTTGCTGATTTTAGAACAGAAGCCAGGGTCCTGTCTCTTTGTACAGACAAGAGTTGTGGTGCTTAGAGAAACAGACTCTTTATCTGCGGCCAAATCCCCAGTGCACAGCAGCTGGTGGGAGGGGCAGGAAGGGCGGAAGAATTTGTTTTCCTACCTTATGTGACTTATTGCTGATTAGCTGATCCTGGCCTGTCTGTGCTCCCCTGCTGCTTTCCTCCACACGCAGACAGAGAGGCCCTCAATACCACGGCTGCCGCTTTGTTGTTTTTCTTTTTGTATTTGTGAGAGAGGGTTGGAATGAGGGTCCTTTACTCCAGCATCTGCGCACTTGCCTTGTTGTCGATTTTTAAATTAATGCGCACCATATAGAAAAAGTGAAAAGGTAAAGCCATTTCAGTTCTCACAGTAAAGGCCCAAACACTAACTTTTTCAGTTTGAACAGCTATTGCAGCTTTCTTTGGAAGGTGGGCAAAGAACATTTCATGAAAATAAAAGATAATGGATACTTTTATTTCTATTCATGCTCAGTTTATTTATCTACTAAAATAAGATAACTCAAATAATTATTACATAGGGTTCGGTTAGCAACTATTTATCGAATGTCTTCAAAGTGTTCGTTATGCTGCGTAAAAAGTTATGATATAGTAAAAAATTACTATAAGAAGTCCATATTCTCGAGTTTACTGGCATCTTTCAGTAGGAGTTTAGGGAATGGCACCCAACAATTTAAAAAGATTATTGTCGTTGCTATGATTTTCATCCACATATGTTGGTCCTTAGAGCAATGCTATCAGCTATACAGTATAGATATTATTATCATCCCTTCAAACTTGAGAAAATGGAGATTCCAGGATGTTAACCAGACTGGCCACTCTATACCTGTCAAGTGATGCAGAGATTTGAATCCAAAGCAAGTAACACATAGTCCAATGAGCTTGTCTCCCACGATGCCATCAGCCACAGTGAAGTCAATTCCTATTTGCTGCGATCCTGTCGGACAGAGCAGAACTCCCCAGTGGATTTCTGTGGCTGCATAGCTTTACAAGAGGAGAAAGTCCCATCTTTCTTTCTTGACCAGCTGGTGGTTTCAAACTTCTGACCTGGCCGTGATTAGCATAACATGTAACCCACTATGCTACCAGGGTGCTCTATGTATATGGTGCCATAGCCACTACTCATAAATGCAGTTAAATTACTTTTCTATTTTGTAACGCACAAAATTGTAACATCAAGATACTCTATTACTATCAGTATTCTAAAACTAAAAAAACTCACTAGGTACTTTATGTTGACTACTGAACACAATGTTTATCAGAATATTCAAGATTGCTTGGTATATACCAGTTACTACACTAACTCACATGCTCAGGCTTTTGCTTTATAGGGTCACAATGAATCAGAACCAACTCAAGAGAAATGTATACCATTTTTGGTGTTGACCCTCAAAAAAAAGTTCAGAGTATCTTACATATGGTACGTACCCCATAATTGAGTCATATGTACTTAACTTCTGATGCCTAAAAGGTAGGTCCAAATGCATTATCACTGGTGAATTATGTTATCATTGCTATGCCTCTTAGTTTATCTTTTGACTTAGTTTCCTCATCCACATGGGAATGATGAATGCAGTATGACATTGTGATGTGGTTGCGCTAAATAAGACCGAAAACCAAAATCTCCAAGTCAATGGCTCAATTCTGCCTCAGAGCCACCACTCAGGGAGGAGTGCTTTTTGAGCCTGAGAATCTTCCCACAGACAGCCGGCTGCTCTTTTTCTGACAGAATGATTGGTGGACCCAAAGTTTGGATTTCTTGGTTCGCAGCTGAAAACATAACCAACTAAGCCACTATGGCTTCTTCCAGTGAACAACCTTAGATTATGGAACCTTTAAACACTGAGTGGAATCTGTAATCTTTTAGTAAATGCTATGATTCCCCATCAGTTTTCTCTTTTCATCTTTTTTCTCTCCCCTCTCTTGTCATTTATGACAATTCTGAAGTCTTTAATAGAAAGGACATGTAAGATTGACCTCCGACTCTCTTTATAACTTGTTTTCTTACCTGCCCCTGCCCCATCTTCTAACTGTACACTGTAGTGTACAGTTTTAGGCTGCAACAATAAGTGAACATTTTACTTCCCATTTCCTGTTTATTTCTGTCATGATCCCCAAACTTTACTACACAGAAAAACTCCTGGGCAAACCCGATAAAATAAATAATAAAAATTGGTACTCCTTTTATAATGCAAATTGTCTCACACTATTCTTAATATCTTCTGCCCTTGTTACCTTGGCAACAATTTTATATATAAATCTTGTTAAGTGTAGGGACTTCCTCCTCCATCTCTATAAAAAATCATTCTGTTTACCCTCTCAGCTTCTTTCTCTTCATGCTGTATGACCAGTTTGTCTCTACCAGAAAGCTCCCTGGTCTTTAGTGGTGCTGATTCAATGATTCAGCTGTGGATCAAAGAGAGGAGTAAGAAGGCTCAATGGACCAATCCCATAAAATCTCCCCAAACTGGAGGCGAGGAGCTGTCAAAGAAAAGGAAACAAAGATATGTGCACTGAGTAGAAAGAGGTTTTCAATGTGATTTTGCTTTGGTGGCAGAGCAGGCAGGAGGAATAATCGGTCTCCATGAACTGTGAGACAGTAGAGCAGAGTTTACAGAGCAAAGCAGCCTAGTGACTACAATAGACCCGCATGCCCTAGGCTTAACTTTCAACGCATTCACAATTCTTGAACCCATTTCCATTGAGTTATTTCTGACAGCGTAGAACTTTTCCATATAGTTTCTCAGACTTTAAATCTCCATGGGAGCAGATAGCCTCGTCTTCCTCCCATGAGGTAGCTAGTGGATTTGAACTGATGACTTTTGGGCCAGAGCCCCACACTTATCACACTGAGGCACAAGGGCCCATTAGGCTTTATTTAAATGTGATGTGCCTCCTTTTTCTCGCCCATGTTATTTACATCTATAAAAGAAGATGGACGTGATACTTAATTCCTTGGACCAGCACAAAGTATACATCATTTAATGTATGTTAATCACCTGCTCCATACTGAGAACTGCAGAAGCATGATGTGAAGTCTCTTGAAAGCCAAACAATCATTCACTGTGAGCATTGTAGTCTTTTGAATATTATATAAGGGATCACATTGAACTCAGCAACTCGAAAGATTTGATAGAAAATGTAGGGCGTGCATGGGTTTGGATTTGTGGCAGGTCCGATCCCATAGGCCTCTCACAATGTCCCAGGCCAAAGCAGACTCTCACTCCGCACCATTGCCTGCCTTTACCTGGTGGGCTTCAGGCACTGAAGTGGGTTGCACAATGAAAAATAAAAAGAATAATGTAGCGGCCAGTGAATTTATGTTCGTGAGGCAGGCACATTTCAGACAAGGAAGGTGAGGGTAGCTGCACCTCTCAAGCCTGTAATCACTGTCACTGGATGGCACAGGTAGACATGGGTGAATTGGTGTGGGCTCTGCTGTGCACTTTCTGAAGAACCCAGAAATCAAATCTATTATTTTAAATGCAAAAAACCCAGCATTTCATGTTATTGCATTTTAAGAGAAAGTGTCAGTTAAAGTGATAGCAGGAAGAATTTAATTGCAGCATACCCTGGCAAGGTGCCATTTTGTCATAGGGAACGTGTGTCAGGAAACGCTGGAGTTGAGCAGTGCTTGTTGTTTCAGTAGGGTTTTTTTGGGAGGGCGGGTTCTTACTGAGCAGAGTTTTCTAGTCACAAACATATTCTAACATAGACACCAAGGACCTATTTATCTTAATTTTTTCCTACGGGAAGAAAAAAAATGAATTACTTTTGGCCCTTTTAATCAGTTGAGTCAAGTCAGAGCTATTGCCAAAGTAGCTTCAGACAGATTATTTTTAAAATTTATGCCAGAGAGAAATTGTAAGTTTCCAATAGTTAGGCCTTGGTATAGACCAGTAGTTCTCAACCTATGGGTGACAATTCCTTTGGGGGTCAAATGACCCTTTCACAGGGGTGCCTGATACATAACAGTAGCAAAATTACAGTTATGAAGTGGAAACGAAAATCATTTTATGGTTGGGGGATCTCCACAACATGAGGAACTATATTAAAGGGTCACAGCATTAGGAAAGTTGAGAACCACTGTTATAGACTATCACCAGAAAAAATATATAGTAAAAAAAGGTGATTTTGAAAAAAAATGTATTGCAAGGGAGTTCACAGATAGTGATTTTGAAATGCTGACCTTGTGGCTATCATCCCAATGGAAGAAAAAAACAAACATACAACCTCCGTCCTAACCATTACACTGAAGCCATTCATTCTCTGACCCAGCATGCCCTGGAGTCCTTAGCTTAGGGAAGTATACTTAATTGATTACATAGTCAATTAATTAATTCTAAAGCACCAGTTGGGAATCAAACTTATCATTGTTTAGCCTTCTTAGTTTAACTAAGCAAACTCAAAAAATCACTGCCCTCCAGTCAATTGTGACTCATGGCTACCTCACAGACAGAGTTAAAGTGCCCCTTTGGGTTCCTAATACGTCTAACCGTTATGGGAGCAACAGCCTCATCTTTCCCGGTGGAGTGGCTGATGGATCGCAACACCTGACGTTGTGCTTACATGCTCAGTGCATAGATCTCTACAGAACCGGGGCTTCTTGCAGACGTGTAAGAATGAATTTTATTGTTAAGAGTTACTGCTAGGTGGTTGTTTTTGTTAGGTGTCATCAAATCAATTTTGACTCATAGAAAATGTATACACGGCAGAACTAAACCCTTCCAGTCCTTTGCCATGCTCACAGGTGTTCCTGTGATGGAGCTCATCGGTGCAGCCAGGGGCAGTCCACCTCCTTGAGGGACTTCCTCTTTTGCACTGCCCCTCTGGTTTACTGAGTAAGCTGTCCTACTTCAAGGACTTATCTCTCCTGGCAACATGTTCAAATTATGTAAGACAAAGTCTCACCAACCTTGTCTCTAAGGACCATTCTGGCAGTACTTTTTCCAAGACAGATTGATTTGTCTTTTAATAGTCCAATATTTTCAATATTCTTCTCCAGAATCACAATTAAATTGGCTCCATCCTTCTTTAGTCTTTATTAATCAATGACCAACTTTCATATGCATTTAAGGCAATTAAAAATACCGTGGCTTGATTCAGGCATAGCTTACTCACCCTGACATCCTTTATTTTCAGTACTCTAAAAAGGTCTTATGCAACAGATTTACCCAATGCAATACACCTTTTGGTCTCTTGACTGCTTCTTACATGACCATTGACTGTGGATCCAATCAAGATGAATTCCTTGACAACTTCAAACTTTTCCCCATCCATTATGATGTTACCTATTGGTCCAGTTGTGAGGACTTTGGTCTTTTTTACACTGAGTGGTAAACCACACTGAAGGCTATTGTACCTGATCTTTACCAGCAAGTTCTTCAAGTACTCCTCACTTTCAGCAAGCAAGTTTATGTCATCTGCATATTGCAGGTTGTTAATAAACTTGCCTCCAATACTGGTGCCACATTCTTCATTGTATTATTCAGCGTTTAAGATCATTTGCTCAACATATGGGTTGAATAAGTATGGTGAGAGGATACAGCCCTGACACACAGCTTTCCTCATTTTAAACCAAGCAGTATTCATTTGTTCTGGTCTTCCAGCTGCTGCATGAGAACAGTGAACTGTATTGGAACTTCCAATCTTTTCAGGATGATCCATAGTGTGTTATCCACCCAGTCAAGAGCCTTGGCTTAGTCAATATATCTTTCTGGTAATCTCTGCTTTTAGACAAGATATATGTAACATCAGCAACAATAGCCTTTGTTTCATGTCCTCTAAATCCCACCCAAAGTTCTGTCAGCTTCGTGAGCACTGCAGTCGTAGTTGAATGATCTTCAGCAACATTTTACTTGCATATGACATTAATGATATTGTTCTGTAATGTGAGCATTCTGTTGGGTCATCTTTCTTGAGAATGGATACAGATATGGATCTCTTTTAGTCAGTTGGACAAGCGGCTGCCTTCCAAATTGTGTAGTATAGACAAGTGAGTGGTTCTAGCACTTCATGGGTTTGTTGAAATATTTCAATCGGTATTCCATCAATTCCTGGAGCCTCGTTTTTTGACTAATGCTTTCAGTATGATCTGAACTCCTTCCTCCAGCACCACTGGTTAGTGTTCATATGTTACCTTCTGAACTGGTGGAATGTTGACTAGGTCTTCTTTCTAAGGTAAACTGAGGCATGGAGTGAGACCACAGTCAATCGAAGGAAAGTAACTTTAAAGACAGCTTTATTGTAGCGAAAGAGCTCTCCAGAGAGATTCTGTGACAAAGTCACGCCCGGTAGTCAGGTCGTAGGGTTTTTATAAAAGGTGCCTGGGGGTGGGGAAACCATCCACTGAGGCGGCAGGTGTTACAAGCTGTTCTGAAAACTGTCAACTTCTTGTCTTGCTCTGTGTACCAGCACGCAAGGTTTCACTCCGGGAGCCTGGTTGTTCCGTCCTGGCTCCGTTTGGCCTGGCCAGTTTTCAGCTTTGAAGGGGGCCCTTCAGTTCACCCGCCTGACCCCATACAGACATTTTGCGTGTAGTAATTTTGTGTGTTTTTTCCATCTTCCTTTGGTGCCTCCTACGTCATTCACTATTTTGCCAATGAAACTTTCACAATTGCAAGTTGAGACTGAAATTTCTTCTTGAGTTCTATCTGTTTTAGATAGACCAAGGCTGTTCTTTTCTTTTGATTTTCTAACTCAAAATCTTTTCACAATTTATTACAATATTTAGCTTTGTCTTCTCTAACTGCCCTTTAAAAATTCAATTCGTTCATGGACTTCATCTTTTCTTCCCTTTGCTTTAACTCGTCTCTCATTAGCAGCAAGTCCCAGAGTCCCTTCTGACATCCATTATACGTTTGTCACTCTTGCTGGTCTTTTTAATGACCTCTTTTTCTTCATATACGATGTTCTGGATGTTCTGGCACGGCTTATAAGATTGTCTGTCATTAGTGGTCAGTACTTCAAAATGATTTGAGATGTGCTCAAATTCTGGTGGGTTAGACTCAAAGTTATAATTTGTCTCTGATGGATTCTGTTAGTTTTCTTTAGCTTCAACTTGAACTTACATACAAACTATTGATGATGTATTCCACATTAGCCCCTGGCCTGCTTTTAGCTGCTAATATCGAGCTTCTCTATTGTCTCTTCCCACATTTGTAGTCAATTTGATTCTGTGTATCCTATCTGGAGAATCCTATGTGTATATTTGCCTTTGTGTTCCTGAAAAACGTGATTTTCTATGCGTAAGTCATTTGTCTTGTGAAACTTTATCCTGTAATCTCCAGCTTCATTTCTGTCACCAAGACCACAGTTCCCAACAACCGTTCCTTTTTGTCTCCAGCTTTAGCATCCCAATTGCCAATAATTAGCAGTGCATCTTGATTGCATATTTGATCAATTTCTGAGTACTTGGATGAGTGTATTTTGCCTACTTTCTATGCTCGCAATCACAGGCATAAAAAAGTAACTCTATTTTGAGAAAGATCTCCATTGTTCCAAGATAGAGTTTGTTTTCAAATACACACTCTCCAAGTCCAAAATGTGATCCCCATAACAGCCCTCCATTAAGGGGCAGTCAGTCATAAAGGAGCTACCACAAAAGACATCGCATACCTTTGTCTGGCTAGTCACTATGCCTGAAGATTACCTGTAGATAAGAGCGATCAGGTTCTGTTGCCCAACCAACTGTGAAATGTCGCAAACTCTCTTCTGATGTCCTATTCTGATAGGGTTCATAGATTGTACTCCTGGGAGGGCTCAGGGGCATTTGACATCAAGGAGAACTAGGCCAAGACCCTGAATCATTTCCATTGCCTGTTCATTATGTTAACCACTTATGATGTTACCCATTGATTATGTTATGTGTTCACTTTATGATGTATCTGCATCTGACAATGAGTGTTCTATCATTATTCTAGATTGTGTCAGTCCAGCATATGTATGGTGTGAACTACATGACTTCCTGATTCAAAGTGGCCAATATCAGTCCATTTCAGTTCATTAGTGCCTAGGATACTGATCTTCATGCATTCCATTTTAATTTTGATGATTTCCAATTTTCCTAGATTTATGCTTCCTACAGTCCCAGCTCCAAATAGGGGTTTGCAGCTGTTCTTTTCACCGTGCATTGTACCCCATCAGCAAGTTAAGATCCTGAAGGCGACACTCCCATAGGCTTTATTCGGTTCACGTGGCCATGTTTGATTTGACTCTGAGAAAGTATCTCCTCCGCAGTCACACTGGAGAACTTTCCCACTGGAGGGGCCCATCCTCTGCCTGA